CTTTTAATTTTTCTATGTAATTTGTTACACCAATGTCAACTTCAGTCAAGACAACAACAAAAAAAATAAGCTGCTTTTAAACCTATTTATTCTATATATATATATATAGACCTTTAAACAATAAAATATGTCAAAGTCTGGCAATTTTATTTTAACGTATGAAGGAAAATAACTTGAAAATAAAGGGTAATTGTTCCTTTAAGGACATACTTTCAACTTAGAATGATAATAGGAAATTAATAAATTTTTATGTAAATTATAAAAATTACAAAAACATTTATGGTTTTGCCATACAAAAAATTAATACAGAACCTGACAATTTCTGAAGTAAGCAATAAGTGACAGGCTTCAGTTAATGTTAATTGAAACATAAAATTAGCTTCCAACATGAAAAGGTTAAAAAAAAAAAAAGTGTTTGATGGACTGAAAGCTAATTTTTATCTAGGTTTTGAATATATTTTTGAGATCAAATTCATAAAATAGAATTGATAAGCACAAGTTCAAATAGTTGATAAGTAAAAATAGCTATTTATTTTAATACTGTTAAAGTCTAACTAATTTGTTTTAGCATTTCTGTATTAAAAAATAACTTGGTATTTTATCAAAAACAAAATTATTAGGGAGTATTATTTATGTTTTTTTTTTCTTTCAAATCCTGTAATACCTATGAATGGAATAATAATTTGTAGAGAAAACATCCTATCAGAATCTCGTGAAATTTGTGATTGGAAGACGATAAATGGAGATGAAAATGGTAGCTTCTTTTGGTTTCTGTTGGTGTATGAATGTGATACTAGGCTGGACTTTTAATTTACTTTTGTCTAGTCTCATGTGATGCTTTAGTGCATAGAGAAGAAATTACAGACTGGAATGTGACAGTGCCTTCATTCACTGTTCATGTATCTACAAAAACTAAATGCTGCAAGCGTCTCACTGAAAATTACTTCTAAAAATACATCTCAGTCTAATCTGTATGCATCTTTCAGATTTTGTACACACCCTTTTGGTGCAAAAACACCAAGCACTGAAACAACATGAAAATGTAACTGTTTAATTTTTGTAAATTAACATGTATCATAATTAATCCCAGTACAAACTAAGAAAATGTGATTGCCTGAGTCTCATGAATGGTTTGCTGAAGAAAGAACGGAGGAGGCAGAGTTAAAAACATAAGATACACTATCCCCAGAATCTACACCGACCACGTTAGACAAACATGCCAAGAGAAAGAACACTATCCTAAGGAGATCTGCATAAAATTTTATGTTTACCATAATTCATTGGGTATTATGTTCATGCTTTCCTTTGAAAAATTTCAAGTTGATATTTCAGTATGTTAATTTCATAAATAAAGAAGTTACAAGTTACATTTCCACTTCAGCTAACCACAATACAAACGTGTTACAATTAGACCTGAGCAATGAACTCGATCAATTGATTATTTATGAGCACTTACGACATCAATTAGTGTCGCGTAAAATAATTGAAATTATGATAAATCACTTAATGTCATGAAAATAATAAACTATTCAAGATTAGCATTTCCAATTATTACTGTTTTAGATTATTTTAACTATCCAAGTAATTTAAATATTGCCATTATTATTCATTAATTCAAGGTTGTTCAGTTTAATCATTTTGTATCACAACTCACATAAACAATCAACTAATCAAAGTTAGTGTTTCCAATCATATCTATTTTCGATTATTCTAACCATCCAAGTCTCATGTGAGAAAAATGATTAATGCACTTGACAATTAATCAATTATCAAATTTCACTAATCACCCAGCTCTAGTTACAATATATTTTAATGAAAAGTTTATCCTGCACAAATTGAATTGAAAAATAAAGTAATATATGATTAAAAAACTTGAAACACCTGAAAAGAAGCCACCATTAAAGAAACGTCTATGCCTAACATTGAAAAAAAAAAAAGACATACTTGCAACAGAAAATAACAGAAAGAGACAATCCCAAGACACAATACAAGTTTTAAGTGGATTGTCACATAAAGGAATAACTGCCCTCTTTCTCCTGTTTATCAAACAATGCTCACAAAAAAAAGTTCCACTTTAAATACCAAATTCTTTGGCATCATCTTCTGTAAAGTCACCATAGCGCCATAGGTTCAACTAAAAAAAGAGAAACAAATATTTAATCTAACATACTTTTTATACAAATGAACATTTTATTCTTCCATGGTATTATAAATAGATATATAATGTTCTACTTGATTAATACGGGCATTGCACCACAATTTCTCATATCATTTCTGTCAATCTAATTTAAAATGTGCAAATTTATGGATAATTATATGACTTTTTTTTTAAAATCATAATGAAGTCTGACCTACATTAAGAAGCACTTACAATTTACTGTCACAACAACATAAAATTTAAAAAAACTTTTGTCACTGCTTTAGCTGCAAGTTCCACAAAACTTATAAATAGGACAAACAAAAACCTGAGACCAACGAGCAAAGCCTGGTTTTATTTCAATCTTGCTTTTTAGAAAAAGATACCTCAATTTAATACTTTTCATTCTGTCTAATAAAAAAAATCACCTTACAAAATGAAGCATAAAGAGAAACAAAAGTGTTCAATATTAAGGCAGATGGTGAAATTAAAATGCAAAACAACAAAATCTATTTAATATAAAATAAGTAAATATTTGAACATAGAAAACTACAAAATCATGTCAACAAGACTTTTACAAATGACTGAAAAGCCGATTAACTTACCCTTTTCCACCGAGCTGTTTCTTCAGCATTTTTGTACTCTGTGACAAGTTTCTGTAACTTCTTTTCCTTTCTATTTTCAACCATTAACAAACCTTCCGATATTAAGTTCTTCAAAATGTCCTCTTTATCTTCAGATGTATACAATGTAACATACTCGACACCACCAACCCTATATTCTACATTTAACAGCAGGGCTCGGTTGTCTGTGTCTTGAATTAGGGCATACCGAGTGTCTTCTATAAACTCCGACTGTGGAGAGTAAGATTTTTTGAACAAACTGGCACTAATACAGTCATCTTTAACTACAGATTTTTATCAGCTTGTGTTTTAAAACATAAATACAACTATTATTATATTTAAGAAAAATTCATTGATGATATAAGCACTGTTACACAAGGTCACATTCTTAAGACAAACTTTTATATTGGTTTAATTCTATATCAATTCACCTTGTAGCTTTGTATGCATGTCCATTTAACTCCTCCCACAGTTCTGGAGCTAGCATATATGGCATATCCCTCTAACAAGCATGGCTAAAATGCCCCTGAAAGGCCACCCAGGCATAATGGAGGTTTAAGACTAGATTTTTTGAGTTGCTAAACCTGAATCTAGCATTAGAATTTGTGTTCCTGGTCCCCTTCAGGATCCCAGGGGCACCATGTTTAAAACTGTGTTAATATCTTCACTCCTAAGCTAGCAGGACCAGATTTGGCACACTTGCTCGAGTACCACGGGAAGGTTTCCTAATGATTTTTTTTTTTGTTGTTGTCAGCTATAGCCACCCCTTAGGGTAGCTACATAAATAACTGGGGATTATGGAGGAGCTTGATTAGTACAATGGGGCCTCTGTAAATTATGAGTTGGCATTTGAATCCCCACAGCAGAGCACATGTATTTTATGTTAGTTATGATAAACATAATTGTTTTCACATGATACACTACTGTGAATTTAAATTTTATGACAGTATTACGGTCTTGGGTGTTGCTGGCTGTTATGATGCTGCTGCTTTACAAAAGGATTTGGATCATGGTGAGTTATGCAAATATAAAACAGATGGCTTTAATTATAATAAATGCAAAGTAATGCATGTGGGTTCTCAATTTGAATTCTAAGTATAATTTTGATGAGAATAACCTTAACAGTAATATGAAAGAAAAATATTTTGGTGTTCTGGTTGATCAGCATGCTGTTGCAAGTATAGATTTTAGGTTGTATTTACAGAAATACAAGTCTAAGTCTTTTTATCTACAGAAATATCGAATACAAGTCTAAAGAGGTTATAATTTCTTTGTCTAGGTCACTGGTTAGGCCACACATGGAGTACTGTGTTCAGTTTTGGGCTCCTTACCTCAGATAGGACATTGAACTGTTGGAAAAAAAAAAAGAGTTAAGAGGAGGGTTACTAGAATGGTGCCTGGGATGGAGTGGTTGTCATATGAGGAGAGGTTAAGATCTCTGAAACTGTTTTCTCTTGACAAAAGAAGAGTTAGATGAGATCTGATTGAGGCGTTTAAGATTGTAAAGGAAATTGCATATGTTGATGCATCATCTTTTTTTCACACTTTATGGTGAGAATGGTAAGACCTGAAAACATAAAACTTTTGGCAGGGTAGGAGTCATTTTAAGCTAAGACAGTTCCATTTTTCTGACAGGGTAATTGGGCCTTTGGAATAAGTTGTCTTCAGATGTGGTGGATGTCATAATTTAAGTGAAGACTTGACAAATATTTGAATATTAAGGAGTGGATTTGAGTGTTATAGTTTAGATCAGTGAATAGGATGGTCAAGATGAACTAATAGGCTCCTCATTGTCTTTAGAGTTGAAGTTATGTTATATATGGAAAACAACTTTTCCACTCTTTCTCTTTTAAAATGTTGCATGCCACTTTCTAAGCAACAACATATGTTAATAACCTTTTATAACTTAAACTTGAATAGGTATAATAATATGAATGATCTAACATTATATGTTATCACACAATTCTCTTAACAACACAGGCCTGCAATGATTTTATTGTTTTGAAATGTTTACATGTTCTACAGTAATTCCTGTATATATCTATTTTTCTCCACCACATACAGATTTTTCACAAAACGTCATAACACAATACATAAAGACCACAATACAAAGCACTGAGGCTAAGACATAAATTTCACAAAAAAAAATCAGGATGAATGAGGATGCACATTCGTTTAACATCAATGTTCTTATCTTTTCTTCAGTTTGTTTGTATTTTTCTTACTAAACATAATAATAAAAAATGTTCATTGTGGTAAACAAAATAATAATTTGATCTAAGTAAAAGTTTTTTCTTATTCCCAATTTGTAAAAAATCCTTATGCAATAGAAAAAATATTATTTTCAAAATCTGCATAGTTAAAATATAGAAAATCTATTATTAAAACCAAAACTACTTTTATGAGGATTAAATTTGCAGGCCTGTGCAATTAATCCTATCATTAAGAATGTTTGTTCAAGGTTCTTATAAAAAAAATTGCACAAAGTGACTATTTAATGATAAATATGTTTTCTAGTTTCACAGAAAAGATTTTTATTTCTTATTGACACTTACATCTTCTGGCATAGAGATGCACGCTAGTCCATACTCATGTGCTGCAGGAGAAAGACCTTGATAGGTTGTGGGAAGAGTAGCCAATTTTGTAGGGTCTGTGACTTCTCTCTGGAGATTCAAGCACAATTTTTATTCCTTCATTGCTAAAGATTAGCTTTACATAATCAAAATAATAATGAATAAAAATGTGTTAAAAAGATACACAAAACAAAATATTCAATCAAGGTAACTTATGTAAGAAAGAAGTTAAAATTAAAAGTAGGAACAATGTTTAAAATGCACAATAAAGACTTTATTTGGCTGATGACCAACATTAAAAGACTACAAGTTTCGTTAGCTTTGCAAACAGCCCTGGCATGGCCTGGTGGTTAGGACGACACTTGACTCGCAAGCTGTGGGTTGTGGGATCAAATCCTGTCACCAAATACGCCCATTCAGTTATAGGAGCATTATAAAGTGACAGTCTATGCTACTTTTCATTGATAAATGACTAGCCCAGAAGTTGGCAGCGGGTGTTGTTAACTAGCTGCCTTCTCTCTAGTCTATTACTTCAAAATTAAGGACGGCTAGTGCAGATAGCCCTCAAGTAGCTTTGTGAGAAATTCAACAAACAAACAAAATATGAATCATGGCCAACCAGACCTAGTTAATATTCTGCAAACACTTCAGTGAATGAAAAACTCCTAAGAACTTGAAAGTATTCCCACTGGCAGACAATATATGCATAAAGGTTGCACATGCATTTATTATCTTTTGATAACTTTAACAATACAAACAGATGTTCCAAATTTATCTGTATAGAAAAACTGTATCATTTCTTAACAAAAATGCTCAGAATACTCTCATCCTAGCTTGACATTTGTATTTTACCTCAAATATATAATTACTACAACTCTACTACTAGTTGTCATCAGAATTCAACAGTTGTTTTTTTTCTTAAATTAACTTAAATAAAGGAAATGTTTTTGGAACACTATTTAGTTGTTTACGTGACTTAATACTTATTTCCAATGGTTTAACAGCTTAAAAATAATTAATAAAATCGTCATACAAATTCTATTATAACAAAAATACAAGTATTACCATAATAAAATTTATACAGTTGCTTCAGCCTATCAAGAGCAATCTGTCAAGCATATAGTTGTTTTAAAGGTATTTTCATTACTGTATGAAATAATTTTGCAAGTTTTTGTTCATTGAAGAGAAACAGAAAATTTGTTCAATGAATCTCATATTTTTATACAAGCCTTTACTTGTCTTCAAAATATTTGAGATATTTTTCTAAGTGATGTAAGTTTACTTGGACATAGTAATAATTCTTCAGGCATGAAAAAGTAGTCTCAATAAATCAGTAGAGACTGCTCATTATGGTTTAAACTTTAATAAGCCTGAAAACAAAATGATTAACTTTTCCTTTTAAAGAAAGCCTTTTTGCAGTACAGTTTGAAACAGAGGTTGGCACTTGCCTAATTCAATTAAACCCGGAATATATGCAAATGTTAATCATTTCACTTTTAGACTGGCAAATCTTTATTTCAGGCATCAAACAAATAGTTTCATTCAGATTAGTGTATTGGTATATTCAATCTAGACAACACCTTATGTGACAAATGGGCTGAACAAACAGGTTAGAGATCATTAAGTTTCAAGCACCAGTATTCTTAAATTCAGAACTGCTGATCAGAAGGGGAGAAACCAGTCATTAGAGCCTACTGTTTACTAGATATACTTAACAGAGTAGGGGGATTGCTTGTAGTAGTCATAACTGTAAAAAGTTGTTCAGCAACATATGTCAATTTGAACCACAGACCCTCAAATCTGCAGTATGTTATTCTAGTCATTAAGCCTTGGCCAACCTCAAAACATTATAGTAAGTTAGATAATTTGTATGTATAATGTTGAAATAAAAATATGTAGTAACACCCATGCCTTAAATGGAAACTCTTAAGCTTGATCACTAATTAACTTCCACTTCATGGCATGGTGTTCAAAAAAAAAGTGGTAAAAAAGTATGGAATTTTTTTAAAGAAAAGACCCCATACCATAAAACAGAAAGTGAAAAGTTTTACTTGGCTTAGTCAAATAAAAGGGAAACTCAATTATGTAAGAAAAATTAATAGGAATAATAAGTGTAATGCTTATCAAAAATGTTTTAAATTCACAGAGTTAAGGAATACTAAATATTGTTTTCTTGTTTCACTCAAGCATTTTATATAATCAGGCAACAATAATCTCTTATTTTTTGAAAAAAAAAGGTTAAACCAATTGTTTTAGTGTTTCTAATGATTACTCTTAAATTATGATATCTAAGAATACTTCAGATCATGTGCTCTAAAATTCATTGCAAAATGAACTTAAATTTTATGCTTTATGCGTGTTGAAAGTTAAGTTTAAATATACACATATAATAACTAAAATTTAACATTATATTTCTGAAATTGCTAATTTTACAAAAGTTTATTAACTTGCAGACTACTTTGCCATAAAAATTAAAATCTTTATTTCACATTCTGTAATGGGCTTGTCTTAATATGACTGTAAATGTTAACAGATCCAGTGTCTTCACAGACAAATTGGAAATAACATTCTTTCAGCAATATGTTTAACTTTTGGCTTTATAGAACTTCAGGCAACATGCTTACCTTTTGGCTTTATAGAACTTTCAGCAACATGCTTACCTTTTGGCTTTATAGAACTTTCAGCAACATGCTTACCTTTTGGCTTTATAGAACTTCCAGCAAAATACTTACCTTTTGGCTTTATAGAACTTCCAGCAACATCCTTACCTCTTGACTTTAAAGAACTTACAGCAACACACTTAACCTTTTGTCTTATAATTGAATTGTAACACATTAAACTCTTAGTCTCACACAAAAACTTTACACAACATGTTTAACTCTTTTGAAAGAATTTTGTGTATTTTTCAAGACCATTTGACCACCATATAAGTAAATTGTACCCGTGAAGGTATACATACTAACTCTGAAAGTAATTAATGTATGCTAACGAAATTTAACAAGCTTTCAGTAAACACTACAAGTCTTTATAGACAAAAATTCAGAATTTTTAACAAAAATTTGTGTATGTATATATAGATGTATATGGAGTCAAGTGTTGACTACACTGACTGCAGTGATTTTCATGTTAAGAATAAAAATACTTTTCTCCATCTCAAAAATTTCAAATTTCATTTGCATAATCTCTAAAACCTCCTAAATATCAAACTTTTTTTCAAAAAAAACTTTATATTTTATGTTATTTTCTCTACCCTAACACTACCCATTTGGTCAATATGACCAACCTTGTAACCAGAAAAAATTAGGAAATAAATCTAAATTACCCTTTTCTTCTTCTTTCTAGAATGACTACAAACTGTAACAGGAAAACACAATTGATTATCCTAAATAGCTTCAAGCTCATAACAGTATACATCTAATTATACTAAACTGTATTGTTTTACTGCCTTTTGAACCATATCTAAACAAATAACCCTACCACATAAGCTGTAAATTATTCAGCAGATGTACACCTCATTTTACTGTATCCAATTACATAATGCACAAGCTGCTAGTAAGCATACCACCATGAATAATTATCTTATCCAATCTAAGAGTTTCTAATTTTTACATTTTAGTTACTTTTATAATAATAGATAAAGAATACACATGAAAAACAAGAAATATGGTACTTGATTGGGCCTTTTTTTGTTGTTGTTGTTGTCAAAT